CCAGCTCCGTTCTTTTAAAGATAGGGCAAGAAGGAAGAAGATGACCATGTCTATCTGTGAAATCCTGTGAGTTAATTAAACACGTGGGAGAGGGGTATAAAAAGGTGGAAAGCTGACTTTCAGGGAGGCCGGGCAGGCATTACCTGTTTTATTATTTCACTTCCACAGGAGCCTCTCAGGTTTTATCTGACCCATTTTATTGGTGAAGAAACTGAATTTTGGGAGGTTCAGCAGGTGGCCCAGCTCAGCCCTGTGAAGCCCATCTGGGAACTACGTCCTCTTGGAACCCTCTGCCTCCATGCTCTGTGCTGCTTTTGATAGCTGCCTGGACAGCTCTCTGCATTGCCAGGTCTCAGACCCAGGCACGGTGTCAGCCCTGGCCCCAGGAGGTGAGAGAGCTTCTGCGGGATGTGACTGTCATGGTCTCAGAACCAGCTGACATTGGGTGAGGCCTCAGAGCAATGTCTGTGGCAGTGAGGGTGACCAATCCTACCGATGTCATCAGATGTGGTTTGAGAAAGGTTTAGCCCAAATCCCAGGCAGCTGTCTGTAATGCCTTTGTTTCAGAATGGAATTATTGCTAGGGTGATCATATAACTTATTGTCTGGCTTTAGATGTTTTTTGAGAGTGAAAGGATCACAATTAGTACTGATGCTGAGACATTAATACCGAGGCCAAACCCCGACTGGCTGCCCAGTGAGATGGTAATCATCTCACTTGTTATCTGTCAGATCAACTCTTTGAAAGGTCAAAGCCAAAAGTTAGTTAAAAATTGGAAGCAACTTAAGTTCACAAGAGGGGAAATGTTAAGTAAATTATACCTAATCCACTTGAGGATATATTATGCAGCCATAACATTATAGTTACAAAGATCATATAGCAAGAAATATTTATGATCAACATAATAAAATTACATCCACACTGTAGCTACAACTACATAAAACTATGCATAGGAAAAAAGGCTAGAAGGAGAAAATTTTGAATGGTAACAATTATTACATTAGTACAGATAGATATTCTCAACTTACTCCTTTCTCAATCCTTTCCAGCCCAGAGATCCAACCATTTATTTCCGTGACAGGGTGGTAAGGACAGGGGTGAGCAGAAGGGCCTGTGTGGTTTGTAAATCTCCCTCCTTCTCCTATCCCAGAAGATTCTAGAAAGTTTCACCTCACCAGTGGAATAAACGGATACTTACCTAGCCCAGTAGTGGGTACAGGTTACATTTTGTTTTTATGGTCATTCCCTTTTATTTGATTTTCAAATACTCTGAAAAGGAATGTATTGCAGTTATAATGAAAAAAATTCTTACCAAATTAAAAAAAAAATCATCTTATTAAGATTAAGTTTAGATGAGTTCCAGTCAAGATGGCAGAATAGATGGTCCCCAGCCTCACTCTCTCCCACAAATCAACCAATTTACAACTATCAAAATGTAACATCAGCCAAGCTCGGGCTGCTGGAGCTCAGGGGAAGAGGAGGAGAGACCTACGGAGTTCATGAAGG